TGTTGCTGACATGGTGATTTTATGCTCACTTTTCAGGCACCATGGTTCAATTCAATAACACGTTTGGAGGAACAATAAAAGAAAAAGATGAAGATGAGAGAACCAATGCAGCATTCGATGGAAGGTAGTAATAAAAATAGAACAATGTTATTTGCCAAGATACACCTATTTTATTTATTTTATTATTCTCCCTCAGAGCCCACAATACTCAAGTGAAGGAGCATGAACCCACTCGCGGCCCAGAAGACAAGAAGGCTGATGTCGATACTGATAACTCTGTTGAGAGGGTCCCTGAAGACCTGGCTGGGAGAGTGTGTTATGAGCTTGAACCTCTTGTGATAACCAACTGACTCAAAGAATAACCTATGTCATGTGGTTTCACTAAATTAAAGAGCAACATAAGACAGAAAGTAAGATTTTCAGCTGGGGTTCAGTTGCTCTTTAAGGCCATAGGAACATTAGGGACCTGTTTTTTACACCTCTTTTTAAGTAAACAATTATTCAGAAATCTACCAACTTTGCATTGCCTCAACTAGATACTGTGTCATTTGCTTTAGAAAATCGTATTTAGAAAATAAACTGAGCAGAAATTGAAAATAATTAAGTAATTTCAAATAACATACAGGTAAAAGTTTGCTTGTGGCATTTATTTTCATACTTATTCCTGTGGTCATTTTTATTTTCCTGGGAGATTCTAACAATCACAATAAAGTACACTGACCTGTTAGAACATACTGATTACATTGTCTTTGTGTTGCATGATAATTAGCTTTTTTTCAGTGTATGTGAGTGCTCATCAATAAATTTGTATTTCCTACACTCACATCTCTTCATTCATTTTTTTATCCAACTTTACTTAAAGAGCAGCCGGAATATGCACCATCAAATACAGCAAGGAGTGTAAGAGAAACTGTGGTGGCTGTGAAATTTGCAAAAACTCAAACGGCCCCATCTAGATACCACACTGAAAATACTCCTCCACAGGTAAAAGTCTTGCATTCAAGTATGTAAAAATTATTAAAAAGTTATTCTGCTATAGGCCTAGACTGCCAGGGGACTTCCCTTGATGCACTGAGCTCTTCTCTTCCTCTCCCTCTCTATCTGCACGTATTCATGTCCGTCAATGCCTGTTACTCTACTTCTTCGCCAGTGTTTGTGCTTTCTTGTCTTGCAGGATCCTGGTTGTGCCTGCTGCCGTGGTCTTTATTATTTATATTAGTCATATTATTATCATCATCATTATGATTCATCATACCCCATTAATATGACTACGGTCATCATCATTATTAGTCATTTCTACTAGTATAGTTGTTGCTGTGAATCTTTGGGTCTGTCTCTGTCCTTCTCTCTTTAATACCCACCCCCTCCTTCCCTCTACCCCCCTACTCCCGCCTCTCCCTCTTTCTATCTAACCACAACTGGTCGAGGCAGACAGCTGCCCCAGAAGTTTTTCCTTGCCGCTGTTGCCAAGTGCTTACTCATGGTGGGAACTGTTGGGTCTCTGTAAATAATTTTACAAGGAGTACAGTCTAGACTGGCTCTGTTTGAAAAGTGTCCGGTGGTAACTTTTGTTATGAATTTGCGCTATACAAATAAAATTGAATTTTCTAAAAGATCATCATATCTGTGTAGAGTCACTTTAGAGTCAACTTTTTATAAGCTTTGTCACAAACTATACAAATTGTAATCTGAAAGATAACTAGTAACTTAAACTCTAAATGTAGTGGAGTAAAAAGTATTTTTAGTATTTAAGTTTCCTTAAAATAAAGTAGCCTACCTCAAATTTGTACTTAAATGCAGCACTTGAGTAAATGCACTAAGTTACATTCCAACACTGGTAGTGTGTGTGGGTGTGTCAGTGCTTTCACAACAGGCTACAGCTGGAAACGCATTCAGTAGAAGTGGGTGTTCCCATGCAGGAAGGTAAGCCATGTCCAAACCTGCTCACCTTGTCTGCTGTTGCAGCAAACCAGCACTGCATACCTGCATGTAGGATACTGGAACCTTCCCTCTCTCCACTTCTCTCTGCACCTCTCTCAGTCTGTCTCTCTATAAACCTGTGTATTTGTAGATCAAGGTCTTATTGTCAACATGGCAGATATGTTACAAGTGTTTTATACCAGCGTGAGCAGTTCCCTGGAGGTACAGTATGCAGTCTTACTTGCTTCATTCTTTTACTTGTATAGGCTTATTGTTAAACACTGACATATTGGCAGCATTTAACAACATATTATAAGGCATGTTGAGTTTAGTACAATATATTATGTTTGCACAGTATTTTGTTTCTGTAGACAAACTGTATCTGTACATCAAGGACATTGAAGAGGAGTTTAACGCAAAGCAATGCATAGAACTTGGTATGACAAAACTTAAAACAATAAAACTTAAATCAAGGAATTCTGTCCTTTCCAGATTAAGAAACACCAGGAGAAAATATTCCTAATATTGGACGGCAAGAAAATCCAATACAAACCTGTGGACATTTCTCAGAATTCTGAAGACAAGGATTTAATGAGGAAGATAGCAGGGAACCCGACTGCACTGCCCCCTCAAATATGCAAGGGGAACGTCTACTGTGGGGTAAGTCTCACACAATAACCCTACAGATATTACTGACAATGTAACACCTTCTCAAAACTAGTGGAGTTACGAGTGAATGTAAATCATTTACACGCCCGCTGCATTTGTCACTGGGAAAAAAACCTTTTGTAGGGCGTTGACGCAGGAGTTAAATAAATATTTACAGTATATTAAACCACCCACAGGTTTGCACAGACACACACACACACACACACACACACACACACACACACACACACAAACACACATATGTTGCAAATGCATGCATAAGTGTAAACAGCTATTGGACTTTATTACTCATACAGGTATGCTGGAACACACCCTATCACCCCCAACACACACACACAAACACACACCGGATTGCTCCTCGAGGGTTTTGACAGTCATTTCAGCATTCCAGTCAGACTTTTCGGCGACATAAAATTTAGGGCCACCAGTAGGTTGACATTTCTTGGTCAAACGGAAATGTCTTGACAGCTGTTGGATGGATGGACAATGTTTCCCACATGATGAATTGTTATAACTTTTCAACCATCACCAAGTCAAAATGAAAAAATGTACTATTTTATCACCAAATACCTGCAAACCCAATGGTATTCCCATGAGTTTCAGCTGTGCTTTGTGTTTAGTGTTAATTAGCAAATGTAAGCATGCTAAAACGTGACACTAAGATGGTGGTAAACATTACCTGCTGAGCACATTTTGACACTGTCACTGTGAGCTAGTTAGTGTGCTGCTGTATGTGTCAATGCTCAACACACCATTACAGTATGTCTAAACTTGTCTTTGAGGTGCAATAACATTTCAGACAATGTGCAATGGTAGCTTCTCATATGCCACCTCTCTTTTTATTATTGTGTATCTCCTTTTGTTTCTTTTATTATCGTTATTATTTATCTTTGTGTGCATGTATGTATGGAATATCTAATGAAACCATTTTAAGAGCCAAACAGCAAATTTAGTTGTACAATGTGCAATGACAATAAAGGCATCATATTATATTCTAAAACACACTAGTTTCTTGATTAGTTAGCTAATTGTGTGAAGAACAAAAAAAGAGAGCTTAAAAGAGATGTTCAATACAAAACCTATACTGTGTGAAGTGGGCAAGCTTAGCTGTTAGGAGATTCTATAGCATATACAGCACTCATTTTCTACAATATATAATAATTACATTAAGATTTAAGAAGAAAATGTGTATAACGTTCTGTCTCTCTGCTTGTCCTCCACCCTCATCCCCAACACCTCTTCTTTCTTTCAGGACTACGCTGCATTCGAAAATGCCGTCGAGATGGAACAATTAGAGGCGTTTCTCAAACTCTAAAAGAATGGAGACCAGCTGTGGGACAACTCAACCACGTTGCCATGTTCACTGCAATATTTACACATCTAGTTAAGCAAACAAACAACCAATAAATCTATAAAAGACAATATGAATATTAAAATTTTCTTTCATTAGATTCGGTTGTGACAGAACAATGTTTTCATACATATTTGATGAATAATGCACACTTACAGTGAAGTGGAAGTGCTTTTCTCTTTTCGGGGAAAAGCATATGAGAGTTGCACATCTGAACAGTTTGTGTGATGAAAATAAAATTTCTTAAAATCTTTCAAACTCTGCCTGTTGCACTCGTTGATATGAATTTTGTCATTTCTTTTTTGTGTAGTGTGGTATCTACCTGCAGATTTAGTGGGATGAAGAAACTGTATTATCTCACTTTATGTAAGAGAAGAAGAAATTCATTTTGTGCAGAGTTTTTATCTTAGAAGACCTCAGCGAGTGAAAGTATCAGGGAGCTTTTTCCATTTATACAATCAAAGCATCAGCACGGCAACAGATCATATACTGCACTAACATCGGAAAGTGTCACCAAACACAACCACATTTATGGTCTTGCCCTAATAACCACAAAGCAGGAGCCGGCAGAACGCTGTAGAACAACATGTCAGCCACAATACACAATTACATTCAAATTGCAGAACCATGGAGAGACTAATGACATATAGACAAAGCTCTTATCCCACTGATTGCCACGCGCTTTCACAACAACTACCCCTGGGTGTGACGATTTTAAGAAAAGGCTCTAGGGAACAACACACAGTGTCAACTATAGACTGATGGAACCATGTGTCAGCTATAAATTAAAATTTACATGGATAAAAAGTTAATATTGAGTAGGTCTGAGCACAGATTTTAGCACTTTTAATCTACATTTGTAGAAAGTTTTTTTAACTAACTAAAACAACTCTAAAATAAACTAAAAGTTCAAATATTGCATTATTTTCATAGACTGGTTACACTTGCATATTAGCCATATTGTATTGACATGAACACAAAGATGTAGGCTATACCGTTTTGGTAACTCAGTACAATAAATTCTGGCAACTGCAACTACAACAGGCAGCACACTGGACGCCCCTGTAGGGAGCCGATGGGGCCTGGTGGTATTAAAGCAATGTCGCGGGCTTATGACGTCCTCTTTCCCCGCTACCCGAGAGGAGGTTTTGGTGCGTTTGCTGAGCGACCATCACAATCTACAGGATTAATCAAACATCTCAGTTTAGAAACTGACCACAGTGGGCTGTTTACGATGGATAATAACTCTCCTTTCATATCTGTTCTTTATTGCAGAACTTTAAGTCCAACATCCACTAAAATCAACAATGGCCGAGGAAGGGTGAGCATGACGCTTGTGTTAGCCGCTAGCCCAGCCGGTATAAACCGGGATATGTAAGGAATAAAACGGCGCTGACATGAAGCTAGTGTTTGTAAGAAGTTGTTGCGGTGTTGTGTTGAGGTTATTGTAGGTATCGGCTTCCTACAATGACAGCTGCGATAATGAGTGTTATTTTGGATTAGCTAACCGGTTAGCTTAGCCGAGTTGCAGGTTTAGGGACTCTTTGATGTCTGCGTGTGTTTGGATGCTTTAAACTAGAGGAAGGTTGAGCGGTCGTAAACTCGCTCTTTACTCTGCTGAACAATAATTATAATGGTCAAATCAGTGGACGCGGTAACGTTACGCGTTGTTAGTTAACGTTACATGAAATATAGTCACTGTCAAAGTCCTCTGGCCAAAACAGCTCAAAGCACTGCCATTTAACAGCACATGGGAATGTTTATACAAGCTTAACATTTAGAAACACTTCTCCTAAAATACGAGTATTAACACATTGGACACTAAGAACTGAATCCTCAACTAGTAAAAGACCAATGTTTGTGGTATTATCTAAACTGGACTTGAACTACAGTAAACTAATTTCATGTCGTTCACTGAAATGATATGGGTATGTTTGATGTGATATAGAAGTGACGATAAAGGGGCGCTGCGGTGTGCTGATGTGTTCACAAGTTGCAGTAAACTGTAAAGCATGTAACAGGCTTATTGTGAATGTCCTGTCCTTACAAATTGTCGTGTGAATTAGTTTTTACTGAAAGTTATAATGAGTAAATTAAACCGTGTCTCTAATCAAGAATTAGATGTGTTATCTGGAGCAATGGTAGCTTTGCCATCCCACTGATGGTGAGAGGTCAGCTGTCCTGAGGCATAAAACTTAACTTTAAATGAGCTCTGTAATGCTTGAATGATGACTTTACATTCTTTTGTCGGATACCCCTTCACTCAACAATGAGTGAGATCCCTATTCTGACATGCTGGGAGCTCTACTGGAATCCACTTATTTGTCCTCCCATTTTGGTCAATATATAACTTTTTTTTTTTCTTTTCCTCCCATTATGATTTTGATAGCGTTGCCGCTGGAGGTGTCATGGATGTCAACACCGCTCTCCCTGAAGTGCTGAAGACCGCACTCATCCACGATGGCCTCGCCCGTGGGATCCGTGAGGCTGCCAAGGCCTTGGACAAGTGCGTTCATTTCTTTTGTCCTTTAGTTGGTGTATCGCTGATATCTTGGCTCCCTCTACTGAAACTTTAATGTGGAAGCCTGCCATTGTTACCCATTTTCAGTCTGAGATGTGCCATCAAGCTTTTGAAATCTGTAAATGGTGTATAAACCCTTGTTGTACTTTAATTCACTGGTCATTTGCAGGCGTCAGGCCCATCTCTGCGCACTTGCGGCCAACTGCGACGAGCCCATGTACGTCAAGCTGGTGGAGGCCCTCTGCGCCGAGCATCAGATCAACCTGATAAAGGTAATGTGCCTGCTCATGACCAGACTTATTTAGCATCAGGTTTGGCAGACAAATGGAGGGGAAATGCCTCTCACATGTAGAATCTATTTTTCAGGTGTCTTGTGTATTGAAAGATGAGTTAAGGTAGCATGTTATCATGTACGGCTGTATCGCTGATGATGATTTGGCTCCCTCTACTGAATACCGTGAGGAGATTGCCACTGTTACCCAATTTCTGTCTGAGATACAGCAGAGTACCCACATTGCTGCCATTTTTATCTCACTGCACTACAAGTATTAAACTATGTGAAGGCAATTGTGACTACCCTTCAGTGCACATTGGTTATTAGTTTATCTAAATTGTAATGTTTATATTTATGAAAATAGGATCTTTTTAGATTTTTTTTTCCAAAGTCGCCAACATTCACTCTTTCAAATCTGTGTAACTTAATTTCAGGTTGATGACAACAAGAAACTCGGGGAGTGGGTCGGTCTGTGCAAGATCGACCGTGAGGGCAAACCCCGCAAGGTGGTGGGCTGCAGCTGTGTCGTGGTCAAGGTAAATATTGCTGCTTTATCGGCCTAAATTCCCTTCAATAAAGGCAGGGCAGAGATGCTGAAGTCTTTCATTTAGTGAGACTACAATGGGATGATGACGAAAGGGATGGGTGTTAAGTAGAGGTGTTAAGACTTATAAGTAGCTCTGCCAATCAAGTGCAGGTGCTGGGCTTTGTGCCATGCAGCTGTTGTTGATAACTTTTGGCTAGATAACAGCCAGGGTACGAGCCCCGTCGTCTATCTGTGGTGTCTGGGGTCCCTAAGAATGGCTACATATAGCAACGCATGACAGCAAACATTGCACGCTATTGACACGTCATCACTGTAATCTCCTAAGGGGTGTGTGTGCAAACATTGTTCAAATCAGCATGACTGTATTTGAATTTCTAGTTTATAGACTACTATATATCTACTATCTATACTTTGTCTTTTAAGTCTGGCTGAATAATGGGGGAAATGTGTAAGATGTACAAGACAACTATTTCTATTTCCATGTGATTTTAATGGAACAGGATAAACATGTTATTTTGGTTGGTTAAATGTAAAGGTTGATGGGAAAATCCAGTTTATAAGGTTATTAAACTTATTAGTGCTTTGTGGTGGACAAACTATTGTGGCACTTAGGCCGAGGGTACTCTTTCCTGCCAATGGGTCTCAAACATTATTCCACTGAGCAGCAGGGGATAATCTGCCACATGCCAGCAAAGGCAGGGAAGATGACTGAAAACAAGTAAACAAAGCTTAATTTTAAAATGCTAAGAATCTTACAATCTTTTTTACGAAGAAGGAAATGTACCTGACATGTATGTTAGACATTATGGATACCCACAATAGGTTTCACTGAATGTAAACTGCTTCTGTTTACAAGGAAACTCTGCAGGGCCGCTTAATTACCATTAATTACCTCAAACATATATTTACTGATGTCTTGTTGAGTTTTGGCTGACGTACACTGACACAGATGTGTAATTTAGAGCTTAGTCGTGTCTCTTACCTGCTCATCTCAAACTTTATTTTTCTGTCTACAGGACTATGGCAAGGAGTCTCAAGCCAAGGATGTGATTGAAGAATACTTCAAAGGCAAGAAATAAGGTGTCAATAAAATTTGGAAATTAAGTTGTTGTCTTAAGTGTTTTTTTTATTTTATTTTTATACACCTTTTGGATATTTGACTGACCACTGACAGACTATAAAATCATGCTTGGATATATAACTATTTAAGCTTGTTGGGAGAACTAGACTATACTGTTCATGAAACTGATGGTTTGTATGAGTCTAAATTGTGGGATGTCAGATTTCACACATTACAAATATATAAGGTACATTTGTGCTTTATCATGGGCTATCAGGAAAAGTGCACTATTTTCAGTAATATGCAGCACTGTATTTATTAAGTTTGAGTTAAAATTTCATTAGGGAAGACAAGATGCGTAGGTCATTTGGATAAGTTTTCTCCTTTATATCTACATACATAGACATTTCTGAATAAAGAAAAGACATTCAAACACATTAAGGCACAACACATCATGACGCACATCCTCATTCCCCCCACCCCACCCCAAAATTACAAAAATCCAGAGAGGAAAAAAAGACCCAAAAATGAATTTCCTTTCCTTGACAAAAACATCCACCACTGCCCTTTAAGTTTATTGTAAATAATTTACAAGTTTCTGCCACAGACTGCATTGTTGTGTTGTGATTATACCACCAGGAAGAAAACACTTTAAAAAAGCAGCCGTTAACCCCGCACACATAATGCTGCCCGTACAGAGAGGCCCTCATTGTTTGAAGATAGTTCGTCCCAGGTGACCCACAACAGGCCTGATACTAGCCTGGGTGCTCCAGAACAAACCAAACATCAAGGAGTTGCCCAAAGAAACATCCTCCCAGGCCGAGGGAGGTCTTTTAGCCTTTACAGGCTTTCAGTCTGCTACAGCTGCAAGGACAGTAGACAGGATTTTCACAGCGGTCCCTTCCCAGCATCAAGGGCACGGGGGTGGATGGGGTGGGGGGCTGAGCTGGATATAGTTGAGTCGTCTCTTAACCCCACTGTTCTTTTCTTTACCTCCTTTTCACCTCTCCTTTTGCTTCTTAAGACCGTTCAGAGTTTGTAAATCCAGACGTTCAAAAAACAAGACAAAAATAAAATCACAAAAACAGTTGCAGTGTATTGTTTGTTCTTAAATAGTTATACAAAAGAAGGGGGGGCTGCCTGGCTGACCATGTCCATGGTAACATTGCATGAGTCCATATTGCTAGAATAGTTACAGGTACTCAAACTCCAGTGCTTGGTGTAGTGCCAGCAGGTCAGAGTGACTGGATATCCTCCAGAAAGGCATGTTGTGCTGTAGAGTGAAAATACACACGTCATTAAAAACAGCAATACAGTTTCATAGCTGCATACCACCACCTAAAGACATGCAAGCTACACTACAGTAGCTTGTAGCTGCTTGCTTTGCAAAAGCACTGCAAACAAAATCCATGCAATCCTAAGGCTTAAAGGAAGAGCTCAGCATTTTGGGATGTGTGCTTAACTGCTTCCACACAGAGTTAATGCACATGAGAAAATAGATATCACACTTTTAACTTTCCATTAAATAAGGCGATAGCTATCAGCTGTTAGCTTAGTTTTATATAAAGACTGGAAATGGGAAAACGGCTAACCTGGCTCTGTTCAAAAGATACCAAAATTTGCCACTACTGCTCACAAATGAATGTGTTATTTGTTTAATCTGTACAAGGTGTAAAATGCTAATCTGTGTTTTTTCAAAAATATATTTTGGGCTTTTGTTCCCCTTATTTATAGGACAGGTGAAGATAGACAAGGCGGGGTGGCATGCAGCGAAGAGCCACAGGCCGGAATCGAACCCGAGCTGTTGCGATATGGTCCACTAGGCCTTCCGCTTATGTGTGTGCACTGAAAAAATATCCAGTGTTTGTACACAGCCCTGGCTCTGTAAATGCAAAACAAATGTGGAAAGTGGATCGGACCGAGCCACACAGCACTAACTTTATTTCCAGATCCGATTTGTGTGTCATGTAACATTAAGTGACTTTCTCACAGACATTGGTGTTTGCACTATATCATGGAGTTGGATTTCTCCACGATAGCTTACCCCACTGTTAATTAGCGAGCTTTAAAGACACTGGAATGTGGATTTTGTTACCTTTGGCCTGAGCTAGACAAGCTGTTTCCCTCTGCTTCCAGTCTTTATTTAAAGCTAAGCTAACTGGCTGCTGTAGCCATATATTTAATGGACAGATAAGAGTGTGGTATCTGTCTTCTCCATGAACTCTTAGCAAGAAAGCGAATATGCATATTTCCCATAATGTCGGAGTAGTCCTTTAACAATCCCAGCACCCAGCATTAAGAATGAAACCCAAAGCTGGAGAAGAGATGGGATTTATATTCACAATTAAGGAAATATGTCCTTGTGCTATGGATTAGAGTATATCACTACTTATCAACTTTTTTTGTTGTGATATAACTCTACTATATCAATAATATAAACTACAGTATCAATGTACAACCAAACTCCGCACACCGCTGGATAAAACTCAACATTGTTGCTCTAAACAAATGAGATTCATAGCTTAATCACTGCGTACATTTGGGCAGCCATTTATTTTCAGTTTCAAATGTGACAAATCACATCGTTTATATGATCCAAAGCAATGAATTTCATTTTAATAACTCACTAATTTGTATATTTGACTTTCAGTTGGTGCAAAATGTACAACATTAGCTAAGCCCCAATCTCACATTTTCACTCTGACGCAATTAAAAGTCTCCGGTCACTCCATGAAAAAGGGAAAAAATAAAAAGCAATAGCAAGTACAGAAACAGAAAAAAGTGAACGACCAACACAAAACCTCTACAGCAAAGAAAGGCAGGCTTCGTCCAATCAGAGCTCACACTGTGAGGAGTAGGCGGGGTCACGGTGAGGTTGCGGGTCCATTACCTTTTTGGCCGCCTGCTCCTCTTCCACACCGTCCCCAATTACAACATACACTACTTTCCTGCCAAACCTTTGCATTATGCGTTCAAAGCAACTCTCTTTTCCTGCAAAAAAACAAATAAACAAGGGGAGGAAGGAAGGAGGGTCACATGGTCAGAGGGGTCAGAGTTCAGAAATTGTTTGTTTACCTGGCTGGCCGCATGCTCTTCATCCTTCCCATCGCCAACCACAACATATGTAATGTTAGTGCCAAAGCGGGAGACTATACGCTCAAAACAGCTCTCTTTGCCTGGAGACAAACAAATGGCTTTCACAGGTTTTTCATTTGTTGTTTAGACGGAGATAAAACAGAGCTCTGTGCTTCAAGGGTGAAGTGAAGGAGAGGAGACAGGGAGAGGACGCTTTTACACACACCCACACACACACACACACACACACACAGACACAAACACACACACACCATTATCCCACAGCAGATCGCTCACTCTGATTAATCCTGACACCCACATGGTGCATCCTGAGAGGTACTTCCATTCGGATAAACATACTTAATCTTGTTGCCACGACAACTCGAAGACGTGATGTCAGAAATCACACCCCATATTAACCTCTCCCCCCCCCGTACAACATACACAACGCTAATTGCACATAGAGTAACTCCACATGCCAAGTAATGTGTCCAGGAGTCTATAGGATGTGGCATCTGACCTGAAACACTTTTGCAGTCTGCTTGTCTTAAACCTCAGGCAGTTGCCATGGTTACCACATTGCTACGTCCACTTAAATCAAGGCACGGTGGGGTTGAACTGGGTGTAACATAAGCTCACAAACACACAGACGCACACACTTGGCTTTGAGTTTTCTTTCCTGAATGTTTTGGCTCTCTAGCCGCCCCATAATTGTTTTGTTTCCTTTGTACAGATTTATGTATGCTTGAATATAATTTAGTGTTGGCCACGGTTGCAGTACGTTGGCGTAACCGGCTGAGGTTGAGGCTAATAGAGTCCATTCAGTGTGTGGGCGTCCGGCCTCGAGGATCCAGCAATTGTCAGAGTTGTTGAAGGAAAGATCAGGATTATGTGAGGTGAGGATGGATGTAATGTTATTTAGAGTCAGTGTGAGCTGGAGAATAACTCTGGGATTAAACATGGCATATTATAGATTCTACACACCCCCATGCCTGTGTTTCTTCTTCAATTGCTTTAACAGAGAGGCTGCCTGTACAAGTTTGAATTGCTCCCAGTTATCATCGGTTTTTAACACAAATATATTGTCACTTAGGTTGAAATGAACATTAAAATACAAAAATATTCATTTGACTTGACTGTTCACTTACAAAAAACAGAAACAGTCACATATTGTGATCAATCTTAGGTAATAAATGCCTAATGGAATAAGTAATGCTCATGTTGGCACAATTCTGTAACATTTAAGTACATTTGGATTGAGGAGTCAGGGTCTCTGTTTCACAGTGCAGACTAAATAAATACTCTAAAGTTGTATAAAAAGAGTATCACATAACAGTTACTGTAATACTAATGCAACAATATGCAAGAGGCAGAGCTGGGAAATAAATAAATAATAAATTGATCATCAAATCGAGATTTCAAATACAAATGTTATGATTTGGAGATATACAGCTGATAAGGACTCTATAAAACCCTAATCCAGCCACGTCACTCATCTACACAAAAGGTGTTTAATCATTTAATATGAGAACAGGGGGAACAGGTGATAAGACATTAGAGATATGCTCACCAAAGATATGGTATCTTTTGTAGTTTGTATTAATATTTTATTTTTAGGCCATATTGCTCAGCCCTAGAAACTGGGAGCACTGATATAGAGAGAATGATGTACTATAATGTCATCTGTGTAGTTATAGTGCAAGTATTGTAATTTAAAATGAAAAAACTACACTGAAAACTATTTATTGTAGACTAATATTATATTATACTTGATAGCTTTTTGGTCATGGTCAAAGGGTATGTGTGTTTGGCCAATGTGTAACCAGCGTGATATATTTTCCTTAAATAGAGTTTAATGTGAATTGGGTTCAGTTTTATTTTTCCCCTCTCTCAAACACACACACACCACACACACACACACACACACACACACACACACACACACACACACACACACATATATACACACAGGTTATAAAGTAAAACATTACTGCAACTCAAACATTCCCAACCAACCGCTCAGTGAACCTGAGTCCAACAAAAGCAACAAGTTTAACATCATAACAGGATATCAGTAACATATGGAGTAGATGAAGAAACATCAAAATAATGGATAACCAACAAAAAACATGCAGCTTTTGAACCGTTAAAATACCATAAGTAAGATATATAGACAGTCACTATTTAATTAGATCCATTCCACATTATATGATTTACATCAATGTTATATTATTGTTTAAAAGTTATGGAATCTGTGTGTGCATGAGGGTTTCTTACCTATTTTGGTTGCACTGTAAATGTTCTCGACAGGGAAAACAGACCCCAGACTATATAAGAGAACTTTAGCCAGCGCTGGTATGAGCTGCGTTGTGGTCACCAACACATTTACACAGTTACTCCTGTGGGACACATATAGAGAGCAGCCTCATTAAGTAAAGACGAGTGGATCAATAGAGGGACGAATGGATCGTGAATAAATATCTGTTGAATATGGATTAGTTCCCACGCTCTGGTTCTTGACCTTATTAATTAACGGAGGGGAGAGACAAG